TCGTTTCTTATTATATTTGTTGATCGCATATTTGGCAGCAATCGAGACATTATTAAAGCAACAAAATCCCGACGCTTTCGTGCGGCTGGAGTGATGACCGGGAGGTCTAACCTAAACGTCACATTAAGTTACAGTATATACTATAATATATGGGTATGTTTTTAATTATTATTCAGTTTACTAACGCATGCAAAGCCATTGAGGCATTGGTCTGTGAGAACCGAATCGACCACTTGAAGGACATTACCGACGGCCAGTTTAGCCGCACTGTATGTCTCTCGAGTCAAATACACGGAATCGTATGTATTCGATAACTTTCTCAACTCCTTCTCCGATAATTTTTCAGTTGATTTTATGATTTCAATGTATTCTTTGCTGTGAACTAAACTTAATTCATCTTCGGTGGCATATCTTGTATCCAATTTCAGACATTTGTCGTACAATTTATCTGATTTTAACTTTTCAATTATATATTTGGTTCTTGAGGGCCGTTCCGGATGTGTTGTCCAACACTTGTGTTTATTCATGTCTTCGTCATAAGCAATACATGTCTTGTTATTTGTAAATTTAAGCGACAAATCAGTTATTGCTATCAAACGATTGATTTCATTCAAAAGCTGAGACGTTTTCTCTGCATTTTGTATGGGATAACAATCACGAGTCGGATATTTAGTTGGCTTCGCTATTAACGCCATTTTGCCCTTATATTCAACGAAAGGCAAGTGTTCTCTTCTGAACGACTCATTCTCAGAATGCCTATCGAAGACGCCCTGCATTTGTAGACACTTCCAATACGGACGCAATACACAGATCACATCCAATACAGACTTCACTAATGACTCTTTGGGAAGTGTTCTCTTCTGAACGACTCATTCTCAGAATGCCTATCGAAGACGCCCTGCATTTGTAGACACTTCCAATACGGACGCAATACACAGATCACATCCAATACAGACTTCACTAATGACTCTTTGGGTGGAGTCAAGTCTTCAATGGCAGGACAGGGATCGCCTATAAGTGTCCGCAAAGTGAGTGCTGCGCTTTCGGCTAATGAAGGAATACAATAACCGCCCTCTAAGACGACGCATAGCTTTCCGCCCGCGAGAGACATCAGAGAGTGACACAAATGGGAATAAAGCGCTGGAGTTAAGCACATCTCCCCCTGAGGACAACCGATGGCCGCGTCATAACCGGCGGAAACAATCACTAACTGAGGATTGAATTCATAAGCAACCGGCAAAAGCAAGTTATGGAAAATTGCCAAATAGTCTGAATTTTGCATTTCTATTTCATTCAACGGTACGTTTATATTAAATCCCTTCGCTTTCTCTCCGCCGACAAAATTGTAATTACTTTCGATT